CCCCCCCCACAAATACAGAGTCCAACAATAATGAGAAGACAGTGGGGCACTTGGGTGGCTCAGGTGGTTAAGCATCCAACTTCGGCTTGGGTCATTATCTCACAGTTTGTGAGTTCAAGCCTCTCACCGGGCTCTGTGCTCACAGCTCAGAGCCTGGAGTCTATTTCAAATTCTTTGTCTCCCTGTCTCTCTCTTCCCCTCCCCCTACTTGTGCTCGGTTGCTCTCTTTCAAGAATAAACATTTAAAAAAAAAAAAAGTTTGGACCTTCAAATCAGCTCAAGTGTTTTTTAGTATAATACTTACCATTGGCACGGTTGACCTGAGCTAAACACCTTTGCACACCACCCAAGCAAGTATAAATTGGTAGTTTTCTGAAAAGTAACTAATCAGTCTATATACCATAAGCTATAAAATGATTTGCTTGCTTTGACCCAGTAATTCTTCTAGAATTTTCCTAAGGAAAACAAAAACACAAAGGCTTGGTCTAGAAATATTTATTATAGCTATATTTATAACTCGAATAAACTGGATGTAGCCTGATATTCCATAATAATGGATTGGTTATGTTATGGTACAATTACACAATGAAAAATTGTGCAGACATTAAAATAGTAATGCAAGGAATATTTATTGGAAATGATGAAATGCTCATGATCAAACATCAACTGAAAATAACAAAGTACGCAGTAAATACAGTATGATTCCAATTCCATTGTTTAAAAATTATATGTACATATGCACATATACATATATAAAGGGCTAAAGGAAATGTATCAAAACAATGGCATTGTTTTATGTCTTTCTGGGTTTTTAAAAACTTTTGACTGTTTACTTATGAGTTTTATATCTTTTGTGTAGTCTTTCTGGATTTTTAAAAAATTTTCTACTTTTTGTCCATTTGAATATCATGCCATATGCCAAAAAAATATTTTTTCACTTTTTTATTACACAAGAACACATAATTTTTTTAAGTGTATTTTGTGAGTGAGTGAGAGACAGCATGCGCATGTGTGAGCTGAGGAGGGAGGGAGGGAGGGAGAGAGAGAGAGAATGAGAGAGAGAGAGAATGAGAATCCCAAGCAGGCTCTCTACATTATTAGCGCAGAGCCCGATGTGGGGCTCAACTCAATGAACTGTGAGATCATGACCTGAGCCGAAATCGAGTTGGATACTTAACCAACTGAGCCATTCAGGCGCCCCACACATACTACTTTTATAATCAGGTAAAAAAAGCTGGCGGTGGGGGGGTGGGGCACCTGGGTGGCTCAGTCGGTTAAGCATCCGACTTCGGCTCCAGTTATGATCTCACGGTTCATGGGTTCAAGCCCCGCATCAGGCTCGGTGTTAACAGCTCGGAGCCTAAAGCCTGCTTCAGATTCTGTGTCTCCCTCTCTCTCCCTGAAACCCCCACCCCCACCCCCCGCTCACACTCTCTCTCTCAAAAATAAACATTAAAAAACTAAAAAAAAAATTGCTTCTAAATCTCACCACCCAAAACCCCTCAGAGTTAACATTTCATTTTGTTGATGTTTAAATTATTTTTTCATGCCCGAGGCATGTGGAATTTGGAGAGGAGGTTTGCCTTTTATGTAGCTGTCAGCCTCATATTTGTGCCCTCCTTTTCCATGTGACAGTTCTCTGGGAAGCGCTATTTCATTTGCTTACACCCCTGTCAGAGTGGAGGCTGGTTGATACCTGAGGGACCCTCAGCCCTAGTCAGGTGGCATGGGTCCTTGGGGATGGTCCCTGCAGGAGCTGCCTCCTCTGAAGCCCAGGAAGCAGCCTCATTCTCTTACCCTTTCCTGCAGGAAGACACCATGGAAGAGTCTGGGTGGAAGCTGGTTCATGGTGATGTCTTCAGGCCCCCCCAGTACCCCATGATCCTCAGCTCCCTCCTGGGCTCAGGCATTCAGCTCTTCTGTATGATCCTCATAGTCATCTGTGAGTGGGCCTGGTGGGGCTGGGTGTGGGGTCCTGTCACCAGAGGCACACAGGCCTGAGTCTGAGAGAGGAGTGGCTTCCCCCCTGGAGAAGGGGGGCATGTCAGCAACACAGGGCCAGACAGAGTCAGCCATCCCAGTGGGAAGGCTGGGTCCTCTCAGCACCAGGCTCTGGTGGTGTGATGCCCCTCAGAGTTTTCCAGCACTATTGATAGCCTACCACGCCCACTCCATCAGTGAAGCCGCACATCAGCTGTGACATCAGCCTCTCTCTACAGTCAGGCCTTAGTGACTAACACAAGTCAGCAATGGCATTGGGAACAAAATCAGGTCTTTTCTCAGAGAACAGCCAAAAAAACCCTAATATATGGTAATTCTAGATGGTTCTTAAGTCAGTCTGCCTAAATTTTTTTTTTCCATTTTAACTATTTTTTGACGTATAACACTGTGTAAGTTTAAGGTAGACAACACAACAACTTGATATATGTATAGATTGTGAAATGATCACGACAGTACGTTTTGTTAACGTTCATCACCCCACGTAGGTACATAATTTTTTTTCTTTGATGAGAACTTTTAAGATCTAATCTCTCAGCAACTGATCTGCCTAAATTTGTATCTCAGCCTCACGCCTTTAAGCTTTGTAACTTTGGATAAGTCACTTAACCTCTGCGAACGTGTTTTCTCATTGGAGAAATGGATAACCAGCCTCTACCTTGGAGGGCTGATAGGGCAGATTCAGTGAGCTGGCGTTCATAATGCTGTCTGTCAGCTCAGTGCCTGGCTGGTTGCAAGTGCTCTGTGGGCTGGAAGCCACAGTTAAGATGTGTCCAGCCAAGGCCCAGTGCCACTGTGCCCCTCTGCATCGCAGCTGAGACCGGTCTTCCCCTGCAGAGAGGAAGGGAGTATGCTGTCAAGAAGGCCAAGGGAGAAGGGAGCCTCATTTAGCCTCATCTGCCCTGGGCCCTGTGTGCTATCCTGGGATGGGGGCTGGGGCCTGGGACCATGGCCATCAGCCACCCTGACTCTCTCTCTTCCCCCACTCCCTCCACAGTCGTGGCCATGCTCGGGATGCTGTCGCCCTCCAGCCGGGGAGCTCTCATGACCACGGCCTGCTTCCTCTTCATGTTCATGGGGTAGGTGTGTCTGAGCAGGCTCTGGGGCTGGCATAGGCTGCCTGCCCTTCAGCCAGCAAATCCCATTGGTGTGGATCCCTCCCATTTCCCTGCAGGGTGTTTGGTGGATTTTCTGCTGGCCGTCTGTACCGCACTCTAAAAGGCCATCGGTGGAAGAAAGGAGCCTTCTGTGTAAGTATCCTAACCTCCTGCCAGTGTTGGTGTGGAGCCAAGAAGCTTCTTCCTAGGCTCCTCAGCAGTGTAGGCAGTCTGTGGTGGGGGTTAGGACCAGAGGCAGAGCAGCAGAGTGATAGAGTTGGGGCGGGGGCGTACTCACCTGAGGGTCAGGAACACTGGGCTGTCGCCATAGGCACCTTGAGACCTCCAAGGGCCTTTTGCTGCATGTGTAAGAAGAGAGGATTGAATTGAGGTGATTTTTAGCTTACACTGTCTGATGGCTCAAACAAGAGAAGAAATAGAAAATTCAGAATAACAGGATTTGGGCACCAAGCCTAGGTGTCAAAGTTTAAGGCCAGAAACTGACCACCAGGGCTGCTGAGAGAACATCCTGCGCCATGGAGCAAAGACAAGTACCCGCCAGGGGTAAAAGAGGCCTGGCCGTGGTGCTTCCAGCCTATCTTCTGGACTTTGTTGTCTCCATTTCCTCTTCGGGGAGAACAGGTCCTGCCTTCTGTCCTCCTGGTGGTGAGGACAGTTCTTGGCAACAGAAAAGACCATAGAAACCCAGGAGGATGCCTGGGACTTGACCCTACCTCTCAGGGAGCCCTGAGCCCCCTCTCCCAGACAAGTGAGGCCCTCCAGGACCCAGGAACTCCCTGGTGCCAAACTCAGAGAAGCTTGTGGTCCCAGCTTTCTGAAACCCTTCTCTCTCTCTCTCTCTCTCTCTCTCTCTCTCTCTCTC